GTGATATTTCAAAAGCGCATCGATCGTCAGCGGCTAACTCGGTGAACTCTTCCGGATTTTTCTGGACGACACGGATGTCACCGCGTGGTGACGTTTCGTTTCCGACGTTTTTACATCGTCGAGTAATCAGTCGACGCCAGCACATCGTTACATGACATTTCTAGAGAACTTGAAGGACTTCTGGAGAATTTGATTGTTTACGGCTCTTTTAATATTCGACAAATTAATGCCATGAAGAGAGATTTTCGTGCGTTACATGATGAAAAACAGGTTATAAATCGCACTGTGTTCGTACGAAATCCAACTTGTTCTTGAGAATAAGAAATCCAGCCTTCTGGACTTAAAAGGGCAATGTGTAGCCAGAATTTCTAGTGACTACTACAGAAGCTGGTTGAGATCACTGATGCTGCAACACAACAACAACATGTAGTGAATCAATTCCTATTTGATTTGATTTCTCGACTATTCGATAAACTCGAGATGAAACAGGTGGCTGGCTGGCCGACATAGTTGGTGATTATTGCTGATGCGACTGTGCTCGGTAAACGAAAATCCATTGAAATGGTCATGGTTTTGTTATATTGGTTGTGCACAAAAGGGTGTGCGATGCATTGATGGTGGTCGGTCGGTTGGGTATTCCATTGAAATCGCCGCTTCATAAATCGTCTACACATGTACGACGAGAGGTGGATGACATGTTGTGCTAGAGCTAGAAGGTTCACGGTCAAACAAATGCTGCACTGGTTAACATTACTGAATCATCGGTGAATCAAAAAAAGAGATCAGGCGAATCTATAGATGCCATGTGTACTTGAAGTTCAATGGTTCTGGAATTCCTAACCTACCTATATCTGGCGTTCACAGACGCTTGAAGCATTCATAACTCTATGAAGCCGGAATTGACTCCGATAGCAGGCCTCTCCAAAAACGATTATCGAATCACTTACGGGAGCTTACTACGTAAATATCAATTGAAGTCTCTGGATAGTTCACTCTAATGGATCAAAGTTTTACGAGTTCACGGATACTCAGCGATAGTGCTTGATTTTAAAGGTGTTAGAGTTAAGTTGCTAACGATTATTTCGCTGAATAGAATAATCAAAAAGTATAGGTAATGGAAAAAAAATCACTAAAATAGGGAGCAGAACAAAAAGAAAGAACACCTGTGGACAGACACACGTGCCAAAATGAATGAGCAGCTTCTCAAATATTCGTTATAGACGTTGAATTTGTTGTCAGCACTCAATCAGATGGCGCTAGTGAACCATGAGCTTTTTCAACTATAAGCTCTCTTTGGAACTTGTCATCGAATGACAATCCGAAAACGATGCTAAACTGATTGTTAACATAGTTGATATGGGCAGTTTTTATAGAGGCTGGTATGGTGTATGCGTGATAGGTAGAGATAATAGGACAGGTGATGGGTTCGGACGACAGCCACAGATAAAATGTAGCACAGTAATCTCGGTGTCATTCATTTTTCTTTCAGTCATTCTTTCATTATATGCGATTATCTTCTTATCAAAATGTTCAAATGCCGTCTTTATCCCTATTTTTAAGCCCACACGTGGATAATTCCATTCAGCGAACCATCACCATGCTTGATGCTGTTACTACAATTCGAATCGCTTCGATGGCCTCTATGTAAGAAATACGTTGACCATGCAATAGGATTACCTAGGGTTACCCAGAATTATAACAGTTAACAGACGAAGAATGGAGGTCTGAATAATTTCGTCTTATTTGTTAGCCTTTAGGGAACCTTTGTCAGTACTTAAGCAGCTGCCCTGACCACTACGGTCACCGAGAAGAAAACAAAGTACCGTACACACCTAGCGCTCATCAGTTTTCTAAACAAACGTAATTTCTGGAACGTAAAAAAAGTACTAAGCGGAGCTTACTAAAACTTTTTTACAACCTTAACTACTGTTATTTTAAAAAGCAAGCAAAAGAGAACTAATTAGATAAATAACAAGGCTAAGTAGACACGGAACGCACCAGCTGGTGACAAATATTAATAATTTGCTTTAAACCAATAAAAACCCTTTGTTTTTGTATCGACAACGATTTGCAAACGAATGAACTCGTCTGAAGTTCAATCCCACACAGCAGCAATGGCTAAGGTTTCCGTTGATTCACTTGTACAAAAAATATAACTTCAAACTCTCCTCGGTGACAGTGCTTACAGTAAAAGTGATGATTATCACCTCTTTCCAAAAATAACTAGTATACTAATACCATTTGTCGTAAAAAGTGCTCAGTGGGTGTTACCGACAGCGTAAAGTTGAGCGTGTTACGGATGCGTTGGCCTTTGACACAATAGGATGCCGACGGTCGAGTCATAGGTTATAGGGGTCGATGGTAAAACCCGAAAACCGTTGATGAATCAGATGCGACGACGACACGGTAACCATTCCGATATGACAACCAATGACCGACGGAACAACAGACGAAGTTTTCATGCATTGTTGATTCACTAGTAGAATATCCATAAGTAAAGACGATTTCCGAGTCGTGCCACTGAAAGACTGCCTCAGTATCGGCGATCGCTGAACTGGTGACGATCGAAGAAAAACAATGTATTGAATATAGTTCGCGAATGAATCAGCCAGCACTCTCTCCTGCCGCATCCAATGAAGCGTCGCCGCTACGAAGCCAAGGCTAGCACGAGACAGACACTCCGCTCGACTGGTAGAATTCTTTCACGACTCTTCATTAATCACTCGGATAAAGAGATCATATCTCATCAACCTTGTTTTCTATTTTACTGGTTATATTTCGCTTTCGTACAACATCATATGACTGCTAGTAACGGCTAGAACTGCAATGATTTGCAATAAAATGGAATTTGCTGGAAAATGGTGAATATTTCTAGAAAAAAGGGTTAAATGTAGGCCACATTCGAGAGATAAAGCTCTGTATTGCGAAAAGAAATGAGGATGAAATGAGTAGTAGGTTTAGAATAATTCGAAGTGGCACGTATAAGTAATGATGAAATATAACAATTTAGGGTTAACTTAGGGTGTTGTGCTCTTTCGAACCCAAAAAATCTATTCCGAACCGACTTCAATTCGGCCTCGGTTTGAATAATCAAGACCAATCCGGCTCCAAAAAACAGGAAGACGTCGAAACATTAGCCGAATACATGATTTCGGAACAATGTTTCGCTTATTAATGAAGAAAAAGTACAAGAAAATTATCCAGGTAAGGTCAAGGAAGAATCATCGTCACCGTGAAGTGGAAGCATTGACGAAATCACGGAAAAATAAGGAAATGTCGTTCAATAGGAAATAAGAGGAAACAGTCCATGAAAGCAGAATGGCTGGAGAGAAAAAAAAGGCAGGAACTGTGAATGAACGATGAAAAGTGTCGGTGATGACTAGCGAGGACAACCAAATAGTGGGGACGAGCAGCCGGTGATTGTATGAACGAAATTCGATGATCCGTTGAAATTGTTCTACGGATCTTAGTCGCTTTCTAAGTAACTGCCACTGCCAAGAGATAGTCCTTGACACCAAATGAAGATCATAACAAAATGTTCTGGAAAAAATGTTCGTGAGCAAATTTGTTAAGGGTTTCGATCAAACTTGACACTACTAAGTATCGCATTGATTTTAGAGAGAAAAACCGAAAGAACAATGTTTTGAAAACTCGTGTGACCAAACTCGACAAAAAATTGATGAACTTCAACTTCACTGTTTGCATGTTGCACTTGTATCGTACTATCAATGAAAACTCGGTTTCGTAAACACCAAATCGCCCATTGAATTCGTTACTGGCACGAGCTCATACGGAATAAACCGTCACAGTAATGAAATGACTGGAGTAAGCTAACCTAAAAAAACGATATGGATGATCGGATGAAGAGGAAAAGGTGAGGAGTAGGAAGTGAGAAACGAGTGAATGAATGAGATTATGGTGTATCGATACTGAAAATCGGTAGAGTGTTGGTTGAGTTGCTGCATACTGATTACCATGCAGTAGAGGACAAGTATGCCGTCGGTAAGAGAATAATCTGCGTGCCTCCCATGGCACTTCTCCTCCCACTTCTGGGTGCCCTCCCACGACCACGACCACCAACACCACCACATCTCGGGTACATCATCTGCCATATCATTGCATTCCGTACACCCTATATCGTATTCAATCAATAGTGTTTGATCAATATACGTTAACAGAAAAGCAGAACTGAGCAAACTGTTGTAGCATTTCCCGGATCGACGACATCAAATCGCTCATAAGCAAGATGCCTAAGTCGATAGATGAACTGGTAATGGGAATTCTTGTTGAAGTACTAGTTCTAACTTTAACAGACTCTCATTCTTAGCTAAACACTCGAGCGAATAAAATTTGTATGGAATAGATTACTGAAATAAATCGGCAAGTAGACGACGAATGCAAGACGATCTATTGCTGCACATACAGATAATCGCTAGCATAAATGAGAAGTAGTGAAACTGTAAAAATTGCCCATGAAGCAAGTAAAATACTGTGGTCTTGAAACTAAGATTGCTTTTCAAAAACTCCAAAAAACCCCACTACCACGAACAAAGTATGAGTCGAAGGCATAGTGCTCGGTTCGAGCACTGTAAAATGTTTTCTACTCGTTGATTTAAAAGTTTTGTTATAATACGAGAAAATGAGAAGTTCATGAAGAGGTAGCAGTGGTGGAGGTGGTGGAGTTACTGAAAACTACTATGCGTTTACCAGTATGCGGTAGCCCTTGTGAAAGCGACGGTGGTGATGGTGATGATGGTGGTGGTGGTGGTGGTGGTGGTGGTGGTGGTATGATTTGAAAACGCCGCCGCGGTGACGATGCCGTCAAAACATCGTCGACAACGTCGATGAATTCGAGAACTTCAGAAGAAATAACATTGCTACTGCGTTACAGAAGATGTACTCAACACTGAACATTGACGCCGTTTATTCATCTATTCACATCAATGCTACTCGAGGAAATGCATTATTGAAGACAGACGGCGGCGTCGGTGCCGTTTCAGATGAGATCTCCGAAAGCACACATGTTTAGAAAACTTCATCAACCTCTTCTTTTTTCTAAAATGCATTTGCTCTCAGATCGGATAGCGGAATTCGAGTTTTGTGGCTCCTCGATGCTCTTCGGATTCTACAAACCGAGGTTGTCACCCCTGTCACCAAGAGTGTTTTTGAGATAATTTTCTAATTTATCATTTGCGATAATATAAACTTTGGTGCTCTAGGAGTAAAGGAGTTTGAAAGTTACGGAGGCTTTCATTCGAGCATGCGAATGTCGCTGAAGCTGCTGAATCTGAAGTAGACTCTACCACAGTTCTACGAAAAACGGTCTCAAAGTTCCAAGTCAAAAACAATCCGTTCGCATTCTCCTCCGTCTTCTTCTTCTTCTTCTACTTCTACTTCTTCCTTTTCCTCTTTCTACTCCTTCTCCTTCTCCTCTCCTTCTTTTTCTTCTCCTTCGTCTCATTCTTATTTTTGCTCGTGTTCATGTATCGCTTTCATCTAAGTTTTCGGGTAGGTTAAATGCGAAGCTATGCTGAGTCATCAAATGAGGAGCTTAAGCCAGAACCATAAGCTACTATGCACTATTTACGCTGAAACGTAGGTGAATTAAAAAGAAATATTGGCTCCATGGCGCTGAGCTTCTTTATACATTCCATATAGAAACGACCACTTATGCATACGTCTGTTGGTTTGCTTGCATCTGTGCGGATTGTATCCTATTTCACGTCGAGTTGTCTAGAACCTTGGGAAGGAGTGAAAGGATACAAGGAGCAGTGCTGGGTCACAAAAGCATAAACCCTATACTCTGCACCTAGACAGAGCCTGACGTGCTGCTGCTACCTACGCTATGAATGGAAGAACTCGGTGAGCTACCCGTGTTTGCGCTCCGTCAAAAAGAAAACAAAGGGTTTCATACCCAAACTGTGAAGCTCTTCGTTCTCCTCGAGCTAATCGGACTCACTGGGCAGCTCTGCTGTCTGATGAAACGAATGGAAACTTTTCTGCTGCACAATAGAGTCAATCGATGATTAACAGCCTTACAGGTGTTACTAAAAGATGAGATTTTGAGACAGGATCGCGCAAGACGAAGGAGTTACCAAATGCTAGAAGCCGAACCTTCTCCTTAAATGAAAGGCCTCTACTATTCATAGCTCTGTTCTGCTACTGAAACATCCTTAACAGGTTGACAAAGAAATAAAATTAGGTAAATAAACGAATCAATGAGAAGAAGAGAACACTGCACCTATGCAAACACTTCGAAAAATGCAATGCATGAAGCAAAACATTGACATTCATAATTGTGGCCAACAAATAATGACGCTGACTCGAAAAACGTGGCTATAAACAGTATTGAAATTCAGAGATGCATATGGCTGTAGTGGTAAAAGTTCCGTAGATAGTCGGAAAGACATACGAGAGTGCATTTTTGTTGAAAAAGAAAACACAAACAAAATGGAAAGAGTACCACAAGAATTGAAAACGATGAATTAGGAGGTACGGATTGGAGGATGGTGAACGACAACATTCAGGAAGTCGATCTGTACCGATGTCGACGATGTCGATGATCTTCTGATCGACTACGGTAGCATTTACCGCACTCAACACAAAGAAGGTCCGGTCCGAGCCGCGTTGGCCGGATTAAAGCACACCGACGCGACCGACCTACCACCACTACCACCACCACCACCATCACCACCGCCACCGCCACCGCCACCGCCACCACCGTCACACCGGTTGCGAGTCGCGCGGATTGACAAATGACTGCTTATGACATATGATACTCAGTGCCGATTACCGTATCCGACATTCGGTGGACGCAGAACGCAGCACCGAGAATCTATACCGAGAAGAAGATAAAAGAGCAACCTGGATCAAATGGTGAAGGTGCGAAAGGAGAAGAAAGATGACTGAAGCGAATTCTCTAGAACGGAAAGTACTACGGTATAAGGAAAAAGAACTCAAGCTCTCGGCATATGCAGAAGAAATGTGGCTTCATTTCAAGTTACGGATTTGATGCTTTTCAAATTTTAATAAAATGTTTGAAATTGTTTCTATTTTTCGGAGTTTTTTTTGCAAATTTACAAGCTTTTGGTAACAAAAAGTGATGATTCATTTGAAATGGAAGTTTTATTGGCATTTATACCGATAACAATGCTAGGCTAGAGATAGCTCTAGTGTATTTCATAGTAACTTTATCCCTTCACACTACAGAACCAAGAAATGAGTACAGTAATAGACTATATTTCTCAAATACCTTTGTGGAGGTGTCCGGATAAAACACTTCACTTAGAGATTAATTTAATCAAGCTTCGCCTTAAGATTCTTCAAGCAAGAGGATAAAAACAGACAATATTCCAATCGATGACGAATGGCTATGATCCTAACTTTTCTGAAGAACAATCAACTTTACAGGTTTATTGAAAGTCGAAAAAAAGCGTTGAATAAAAAGAAGCTTAGAACAAACTTAGATGGTCCTTAACCTAATGAAACCAACGAATACTTTCATGATTCATTGATGATTCAGATAGAAAATATTAGTGCTACATTATAAGGACCCCACATTGTTCATAAATAGGCCATACTAGTGACGTTTTCGGTTATTTTCTATGGGTCAATTCATGCGTGAAAACGTTAAAGTGGAAAGATTCTTCACACAAGCGGTGCCTGACCTCACTTGTGAGTTGGCCGATACTCTTCAAAACTCCCTCCTCTATCACTCCCTACCCTCTGAAAGTTCGCCGCCGACAAAGAAGAACTCAGTGGGAAGATGATGGCCGAATATGAAGTAGTTCCATTGTCTTCATGAATATAAACTCGAAACAACATGTATGAAATGTTGAGACTTTCGACGAAATGCTACGTTCACATCCGTAAGAAGAAGATGTTTCTGCAGTCCGGAATTAACATCCAGCATTTTATAGTTTTTAAACACCTTCACATTGAATCTACCTAAATGGTTCTCATAGATGAATCCTCATTACCGTGCTTGCGATGTTCGACGAGCGACCAGTAAGAGAGCAGCTCGCCAATAAGACTGACCATCACGTGCGGAACTGATCAGAGACGAAATTCTGATAATCGAATGTGTGCGCCACGATCTCTTCGTCCTTCCACCTTTCCGCCTTTTATGAAACCTTAGAAATTAGAGGTGGTCACGACGTTGATGACCAACGTGCAGATTCTTCCGCCTATACTCCGGACGAGGCATCGTTCGTTTCTCGCGTTTTTCCGCCGATCAGCTTGATTACGACTGCGGCTTTTTCGACAATCGGTGCCAGTTTGACCTGGTCGTGATGGGCGGCAAGAGGCGGAGCTGAGCTACTACCAAGGTGTTCAGTTACAAATCCCTAGGCAACGAAATCGAAACCGATCCGGCCGACGGACGAGCATCTCAGCAGCTGATGAAGTGAGTTTGATAAGCGAATGAAAACGTTTTTCACTGGACTTTTTATTGTAAATGAAGGTTTTGGAATGTATTTAAAGAAGCACTAAAGTAGTAAAGTAGTAGGACTTTAAAATGATTCCGTGTGATGAATAATGTGCTTTGGAAACTATGGTAAAATAACAATAGCAATCCAACTCTCATTTATTCGCCAGTACCATACTGTTATCAGTAATGTTTTACGATCCACGTTTTAGCGAACTAGTCAATATTATTTACTTAAAGTCCCGAATCAATTTGGTAAACCGAAACACTAGTTCTGATAAGAAGTTTGAGTCCAAGATTGGTAGTGAAGCCTACAAAAAATTGCGAAAGAAAACGTTGGTTTGGCATTCGATATTCGACGAGAGAGATGTAGTGTCGACTCTAGTTCGTTAGAAAGTAGTGGGAAACTTTTGTTCTTAAATAGTCTGAAGTACGACGAGTCAAGAAGAGTTCCTTCTTTACACAACATCACTGACATTGTTCTACTATTGATAAGTACGAGTTAAAATGGTATGGAGAGTGAGTGAAGAATATCACCTACGTCAAGATGAATGATGGTGGTGGAGTTGTGGTGACGAATGTCCGATTTACGTCAGTTAGGTAATGACCTTGATTTGCAGACGTGAAGGTGGAGGAGGGCTCATTGGAATGTATTGAGGGTAACCCGCTGTTTTCGGATTAGAGACCGTCCGAGAACGACGCTCGGCAAGCGAACTAGCACTACAGGAAACTCGGCCGGAATGCTCGTCATCAAGCCTCAGCACTGAATAGTAACTTCAATAGCAGAATAAATACTAAGTCCCTTAGTAAGATTAGTGATGCTTGCAGGTATTTTTCATTCCAAATTATCGTGAACAGTGACAAAAGCGTGACTATTTGGAGTGTTCTATTATCGTTCCCTATAGAATAGTATGGAATACGATAGCAAGTGATCTTTCCTCCAATCTTTTTACTAACCATGTCTTTTGCAAAGTCCTCTTGATGCTGAGTTGATAGAACTGAAATGAGTTGGATTTTAAAGTCCTGCGCCGACAGCATCGTTTCCTCGAAAATATTTGAAAACAACTGACATTTCTAGAGTGAAGAGAAAGGAAGGCAAGTGAAACAGGACACTGTCTTCTCTTCGGTTAAGTAGAGTTTGGTGATGATTTCCCTACGCTGTTTCAGACAAGGTCGAATTCGTTTTCATGCTTGAATCGTTGACAAGCGAAACGACTATGGCTCAATTTGTTTGCACGAATATGCTTACTTAAAAGAAAAAACATCTCATAGTGAGGCATGGCCTTAAATCGGTTACGAATATTGAGGCATGGAAGCAAGATCTAAGGCATTTTAAGCAAGGTCACCGTTGTCCTTGTTGGAAATTCCAAAAAACCGATTACACTTGAAGCATGGTGTCTTGTTCTATAATAGGCTTTCGTCTCGGCTTTCTGCCATTATTTTTCAATTCAAAACCTAGGTAAACTATTAGCCATGGCGTAGGATAAATATGAAGGATGAAGGAGGGAGATGAGAAAGGATCGAATGAAAAAAACCGGAAAAGGAGTGAAAAACATTCAAAAATATCAATATGCTTGTAACCGAAGGCAGCCTGTAAAGCTAACGGAAAACTGTTGCTATGACTGACAAATAGCACTGATACCACTGATAAGGCGCTCACTCAGCAATCGCTCAAGTACCGAATGCAGATAAACCGCAGAACAGTCGATAGGCAGTAGATAGGCGGACGAGTGGTAACAGTATCGTTGAGAACGTCTGGGTAATGGGGTTATCCTACTTGCTACTGAGCAACTGGACGATTTGAGCTATTAGGAAACTAATAGGACCCTCACCAATTCATCGAAAACGAATACTCAAGTCTGGTAGAGTTGCTCGATATGGACCACTCCTGTAAGAAACCGTAGGTTCAAGTCGAATGACTCAATCTGTGAAGGTTAGCAAATCATTACGTCATCAGAAAATATCGCTCGAACAACATAGAAAAAGGCAATACCATTGTGAGCATAATAAAAAAAACGCCAAAAAAAACAAAAAAAAAGTAAGACGGAAGTATTTTTGTGAATAGTAACGTCAATACAATAATCTCATAACTATTCGCCGCTTCTTCGACTGATTTCGGCGCGTTAAACGACACATTAGAAGAGGGCAGTAACGTGTACGACACGTGAAAAGCAATAGGAAAACTCGTCCGATGTTCGTCGACGATTTTGCCATGAGATCTTGGTAGCTTCGGCTGGAAACGAGGATCTGAGTAGTGAGTAGTTTTACCGAATAACTTAATTTTTTGAATTCGCGGTAAACCAAGAGCTCTCCATTATCGTATGAATTCTAAAGAAAACCCGAATAAAATAAATGGCGGTTGATGTAAAATTGCATCCTTTCAAGACAATGTCTACCTCTTGTGCAAAAACTAGGTTGTTGACAAATAATTCTGTCTTTTTCGCAGCCCTTGGACATTTTAGCTTCTTAGGCTAAATAAAGCCGCAGTTGAATAAAAAACCATGGATTATAGAAAACCAATCATGTTATCGTTAAAAAGCGATAATATGGTGGTTGGTGGAATACTGAAGAGAAACGAGTAGTTATGAGTTTCTTCGCCCACGTGAAAAGTTTGCGTGTATTCTTAGATGATCGATTGAAGTCTTCTTTTTGTGAATTATGAAACCCGCAACGCATGAGTACAACCTAATGCAGCGCTACGCATAGTAAGTAAATTTGGGCCAACAGTTGTTCGCGATGAAAAACGCCGATATGTGTAAGTTTTTGCCGAGATTTGAATTCTAGATATGGTGACGAACGAGCGATCGGAACGGGATTGTCAAGAGAACGGCATAGGGTGACGCGCGAAAACGCCCAGACCACTCGTCTGGATGTCGAGACACGCAGTATCCGGCCGAGTTGTCAAGTGTCCCGCGGCCACGGCAAGGGCGAGTTATCTCAGGTGTTATGGTCGACGTACCACTGATCTCAAGATTCATGTCAATGAGAGAATAACCGGCTTGATGACTGAGCATCAACGATGGGCAGAACGAGACAAGTGGATATAATCGTTGTGAGAGAATAGTTAAAAACAGTGTAGTATTTAAGGTAGTAAGGAAGGGTTACTGATAAATGCAAAGTTTTTCTAGGACTTAAATCACGTCGGCATTTCACATTAACTCTTTTTGAGCATTCAGAACTTTTTGAGAAACCTCTTATTAGCGCAATATTCCTTGAATTATTTCACTAAAAGGCTTGAAAGGCAAGAGATTCATCATCTAATGGCTGTTGTCAAGTAGGTTTCACTATTAAGCCTTATTTTTTCGAACCAAAAGGCTTTCAAGATGATGTTTTG